TACATTACAACTAGATGGAAAATTTATATACATCGTTATAATCAGATGCCCTCTCAGTGCAGGACATCACACAATGAAACTGATCTCAGAAGAAATTTTGCCAAAATATTTCTTATACCAAACAATACAACTTATTATTCATAGCTACCTTCCATTCTTTACTGAGCTATAAAGTGCTTGGTTATTATAAATAGAGCAAGAATGTCAAAGGAGGTAGCTAGTAGAGATTTGTAATGGATAAGAAACCTTACCAAGTGTTACCACCTAAAAGTATGATTTGATGCTTAATTCCAGATCTCTCAACCTCCCAAGCAGCACATCTTTCATCTTCTCTACCATAAAAAGAACTTTCAAGTTGCTTTCAGAAAATCCTAAGATCTTCCCCTGTCCAAAAAAGAGATTTTACCCAGGTCTGGATGAATGCTAAAGCTCATAAATATTGATCACTACTTCCATTTGACTGCTGTCAGGATCTCAGCGATGGAAGTACTGTTCTTTTTCTAGCTGTCAAATATATTCCATATATAGAGAGACTCCACCAGGAACAAATCCTTCCTTGTGAAGTTCCTTGTAGCCAGATAATGATGTTGTAGAGTAGACTATTAAAAATATCAAAGAGGCCTGCCCATACTTTTCAAAGTCTTCTACACTTGCATTTTTTCATCTGAAAATTCTAGTCCCTTTCTCTTTGCTTTATCGATGGCTTTCACCAGCAGCCAACACTGCACCAGATCCTAAGCTGGAGTAACTGTCAAGCAGCCCTTTATTTTCCTCTGAATGGCTCAGCAGAAGCATCACAAAACAATTTTACAAACTTCTCTATTAGATGACCTTTTACAGAAAGCTTGTATGTACATATACTTAAACACACACAAGTCCATGAGAAAAAGTCCTGTTCACAGAGCAATCAACAACTGATAACTCATTTTATACAGCTTGAAAATTTTAAAGAATGAAGTTTCATTTTCCACTGTGAACAAAGATATAGGAATACCTAAACCTTTCCGCTACGTATCAGTCTGCTGTTGTCCCAACCACAGCAGTAGGAAGACATCTGGATCTCTGTACTTGTGTTCTTAAAGTCCCCTCCACCTCTCCTCTTTAGGCCTGCTTGAACTCATTTCCTCACTTGTGTAAGCTTTTACTCTTAGGTTAATGTTAGTTCTGCAGTATGAGTAATCTTCTCCCATAATTTTCTAAGTAAAGATGGAAGTAATTCTCTTCCAGAGACTGCAATTGATTTAATTTTTCATAAATTTTAATACAAAATTTGGAATTGTTATGAATTTATATAGAAAGTCAGGTCCCCTTATTTTCCTATGCATAGGTATTTTTCATTATTCAATTGATTCTACTTTTTAAGCAATTAAGTTATTAAATTATTGAGCTCACTCAAGATAGCATGTATTCAAAGAGGTAGAGTAGGCTTCAGAGATGTAATTCTTACCACTGAAGAATGCGCACAGATAACCCAATGAAGCATCTCTGTAGTGTAAGGCTCTCAACTTCATTGAAATCCACTGGAACACTCACTGAGAAAATTAGTATTTGAAGTACATTTCCTCTCTGCAAGCACTGTATCCACAATCAATTATAAAAGCAAAACGTGACCTACCATTCCCCTGTAGTAGTTCCGAAAGTGGTATTTACTCAACTTTTGATGAAAAAGTAAAAACATAAAAAAGGGAAACTTGCATTCCTACATACAGCCTTACTGGTACAGACTCTCCCATGATCATCGTGCTAATTTTACATCACCTGGTACTGAAGAATGTAAAGAAAACAAAACCAAGATATCTAAGCATTTTTTACAAGATTAACTCCTTCCATTTGCTATGTCCATGGCAAAGACACCTGGTGACATACCAAGAGTCTGCTTTTACACTAGACAATGCAACTGTTAAAAATAGAAGTTTTAAGCCACTAATAAGATAATATTACATTCTAAATGTAGCATTTATTATGATGCTACTTATCATGCATTTCCTTTTTTGCATAAAAAAAGCAAACGCTTGCAACATTAAATTTCATCAATATTTCACCACAGTTTTTAAATTAATAAAGTGCAATTGAAAAATGGGTGCAGCAGCTATCTAACTTGCTGTATTATAATCTTTTAATGGCAGGTGAAAAGTGTCCTATACTAATGTATGCAGTACATCACAACTTTGCAGCCTGTTTACTACAGTCCTTGCTGAATACACAAGTGTTAATTTTTTTTCATTATAAAGTTGCTTTCTGATACACAGTAGATGCATCAGGACATAACTGTAATACAGTAAAAAAAAATGGGAAAATTTAAACCTAATGCATTGAAAAATATTGTTTCAATTACATTAATTTTGTACAACAATGCAAAATATTACCTGTTTTAAAATAATTATCCCACTGCCCTTCCATTCTGGGTTGTTGCCCAAAGTATACAGTGCAGGGTTTTGGTTGGTTGGTTGGTTGGTTTTTTCCCTTCAATCTAGTTTTAACATAATTTTATTATAGCTTGACTTACCCCCGCCCCCCCATCAGACACAAGTCTATCTAGAAGTGAAGGAAATGGACCATTTTAATGAATGTTCTCCATTGAAAACAAAAAAATTTAAATACTGCAATATATAAAGATTAATGCTAAGAAGGGATGAATTTCAAAAAGTTTTCATGAGTTATCACCTTAAGAGTTGCTCCAAATCATCTTCCTTATCAATTTTTTTCATCCTACTTCCCAAATAACAAAAGTAGACTTATACTTTCAAACATATTCTCCAAAATGTTTGAATCTACTCAATTTAAAAATTATTTTAGAAAGGAATAAACTATTACAAAATGATTCCCTGATCTAGCAACTTAAAAAGCACAAGAAAAAAGTATTTTATGTACACCTTTAAATCATAAAGGTGATAGAAACATAGAGCCTATGTATGTAGCCTAGCTTTTGCCTTAGATACACTGAAATTACTATTTTAAAAGATACCAGGTTCTGCAAATGAGTACAAAAGGGAGTCTGTTTCAGCAAATCAGGTCACAGGATCAACTCCCAAAGACTATGGATTTACTAGCACCCAAATAGGGTACTGTGCTCACTCAAATCATAGAGCTAAACAGATTCATTCCTAACTTTCCCAAGGCATAAACAGATCTCTTGTCTGCAGGCTTGTGAAGTATTAATAAACACAGAATCAAAAAAACAGAAGTATTAAAAAACCTTGGTATCTCCCTTAACAAGGCAGGATTGGGAAACAGTTTTGGAAAAAAGCCTGCCCAGTTTAACAGTGGAGCTAGGCTTATAAAAGTGCGTATTACTCTAGCCCAAACAATACTCTCCAACATCATTTTAACTGGGGAATTAACCTCATCGCAGCCGCCTTGGTTATAAGGCATTTCCACCTATGCAATCCTCCTGAGCACTTACAGACATCCGATTCCTGGCAGACAGGAACGCTGTGTCCCTCACCCAAGAGCACTGTATTGGGGCACTTGCACCTCCGACTCGCGGGGAGACTTCATGTCACCCAGCTTTGTTAGAGGGAACAGGATGAGAGGAAAACTAATTATCCTACACAGGGTAAATATTGTATCTTTTTGTTTAAAAATAAACTGCTTAAACAGTCTGCTACGATAATTAGGATGTGCACTAAAGTAGAGTGAAAATGGATATTTTTAGCACACCTTACCAGAAGATACAACAAATAACAAGTAATGTCAAAAAAACCCCAAACCAAAACAAACCTACATCAAGGAAAAAACCCAGAAGTTAATTAGTCCCAATCCAGATATGGTTTAAAGTAAGCAAAACAAAACCAAACTACACACAAATACAGCTCTCAAAATCATTTAAAAATAAAACCCAGAATTTCCTCAAATTGTATTATAAATTAGATTCAAGACTATTCCTAGATACTAAGATTCCTCTCTGATGCCCTCTAGACCTTTAAGTTTGCAGAAAAAGGAATAGAGTACCTATTGACTAATATGTGGTTTAAAAAAGTAAAATGTTCTGCCTACTGAAATGAACTGGCATTCTACAGAATTACCATACAGCTTTAAAGAAGTTTGGCACAGTTAATTCAAGAATGCTTTTAGTCAACACCTCAGATTTCTGATGTGATTAACAAGGAAAATGGGACAAAAAACATCAACACCTCATACCAAATGGGTCATTTCCGTGATAAAGAAAAAACAAAGTATTACTGTAAGTTACAAGTCACATATACAGCAGAATTTTAATGTCTTTACAATTAAACTTCGCATCCAAATAGCCAATGGTTAAAAATACTCCGAGGAGAGTTGCAGCACTTCTCAAAGGTAGTAGCAGCAAAGGAAAAAGCACTCCAGTAAGAATTATGCTGTTTCCACACATCATTTACCATACTAACTTACGAAAAAAATTCCACGGGCCATTTAGAAGATGTACTATTGCATGTAGTCTAACACAGAAAAAGTGAATCCTTCCCATCAAAATCAGAGAATTTTAACAATTTTTAAGATATTCTGTAGTCTTATAATACAGCATTTTAGATAAAATTATTTCGTAAATTTCCCAAAATGGTTTGCATTCATATAAGGCAGAACAAAAAGCAGTAAAAGACTTCACAGAATCAAAGCTAAATTTTTAGCTTTTCTTGCAAAAATTAAAAAGTTGTCAAGAATGAAATCTTGATTGTTATTCCTAGAAGAAAACATAGAAATGTGCCAGGAAAATTGCACCTTATCAGGAGTTCGGGGAGGGTTTTTTTGTTTTCTAAAAAGAAAGCGAGATGTCAGTACTCACTGGATTTATAAAACACATTAATTTGAGAAACCTGAGTGAAACACTTCGAACACACCTGTGGACAACAAGCAAGTAACCAGTCTACTCCTTTCTAATTTCAGTAGCTTGTAACTGCTTAGAACAGACACATGGAACTCTCTGTGAGCGTTTGCTTTTATTCCTCACCAGACAGGATCCGTAAAGTGTGGCTCTGGGTGTGCAGGCAGTGTGGCTAGGGAAAAAGTAAGGTCAGTACAGAGGTAATACCTTGTTTCCATAAGAGGAGCATTCCATGGCAGAAATGTGCACTGTTTCAGTGAACCCAAATTATTTTCACAGCAGAAATTTCATTTCATGCATATGACTTCTAGTCAGATTTTCCATTTCTATGAGTTTTGGCTTCCTCCTGTCCGACAAGAGAAATGACTTTGTAGCATCCTTTTGCAATTTTGAGCATCCACATCACATTCATAACATCCAAGACAACACTTGAGATAATCCAGGCGCTCTGGGCTGCAAATCCTAATCTCTGGAAAGCCTCTGTTCCAAATGAAGAAATTACATGGCTGTAATATATAGGCATGACGGCAATCCTCACCACGAAGAACACAACTGTCATCAGCACACCATTGATGATGTTAGCCTTCGAAGATTTGGGATATCCCAGTACTTCAAAAAACCACCTGCAAAAGAAGTGTTCACAGATACCACGCAGACTTGAAGCCATCTCATTAAAAAATGATTTTATTTAATGTTATTTTTAATTAATCATTTAATTAATTAATTGCTTCTACCCTTATAATTTCTAAATTACTGCACTGTGACTTGGCTCAGTTGCAAATTCTTCTGCTTGGCTGCATTTTTCCCCCCACTTAAGCAATGTGTGATATCCAGTACATTGCAGAATAACATGTAGAAAATCCTGATTTGAATTGTAAACCAGTTGACAACCAGTGTACATTTCAGTGACTATTGTGTAATACATTATAGTTCAAATTCTCTTTTAAAATGATAAATACAAATTTATTACTTGTTACTATGGTTTGCACCGATGGGCAACTAAAATAGTATTTGTTTCCGTGAAAGCTATTCTAGCATTCTATGTGGATATGGTAATCTAGATAGGGCTCTAATTTCCAGTCTCTCAGATTTGGGATTTTCTGACTGCTTCTGTTCAGCCCAAAACCAGAACTTCAGAACCAGACATTGTAAACAGTACTGGATCATGTCACAGCTACGTATGTCATGCAATGAAAAAGATAACTCTAAAAACCGCCTCTCCAACTACTACTACTGGGTCATAAGTGGTCTTTAAAAAAAAATTCTTGCATATTAATTCCTTAGTAGACAGGCATAACTTATCTATTGCCTAGAACACAAAACCTGCGGGTTGAATTCCTAGAAAAAGGAACAACAAGCTCCTCTAATTCTTTACAATTCACACTTAAACCAGAATAAATGCAAGGAAAATTTGTGCAATGATGGCAGGTTAAAGATAGGACCAGAGGAAATTGACTTAAATCACTGTATTCATGATGGGGGATGGGGAGGGGAAGTGGAATAATGAGTTTATTTCCAAGAAGATACAAGGGTAGAACTATTTAACAAGAGTTCTAAAACTGCTTTTAGAAGTAATTTTTAATGTAATTCCTTACAGATTACAACCTAGGTAATTATAGATACACTAAAAAGATTTGCCAGACATCCAGCTCTAACAGAAATACCCCAGGAATTCATTATGCATGCAACTGAGACAATTAAAATCCAGGCACTCGGGGTGGTAGTCCAGTGTGGAACCAGGATACCTCACCACATAAGCACTTACCGGGATGATGAAGAGAAAAACCTGATCTATTTGGTCAGACTAACAATCACAGCCTGTACTCTCATTGATACATACAATGCAGATTCCAAGAGTAATGTAAAAAAAGGTTTTAAAACACACTGCAATGTGCCAATATAGGTAACTGGACATCTACTTAGCAACTTCCCTCTCCTAGCAAATTCAGAAAAACATAAAAGTCAATAAAGCACAGTTATCATTACAATTTTACCCACCACAGTTCATAATTAATTACATATATGCTGATACTAACATTAAAAGATCTAAATGCTTGGCATGGAGACAATCTCCAATTAGATATCCCTAACACCACAGACAGGAAATAGACAGTTCTGAGATTGGAGTATCTTTTTATATTTTGATAATAGCTCTTTTGGTAATACTAAGAATGCAAACAAGAAACATAATGTAAGTCATTCTCATTATCCACTACTTACTGTCTTAAGGGTCTGGTTCTCTTCAAATTTAATGGAAAAAAAAAACCCAAACATTCATGCACTAATGAGATGACATCCCTTAGTGCAAGGGACTATTATCTCCTACAGTGATTTCCATTTTTCTGAGAAAGCAGTAAATGTTGGTATTCAAAGACACATGATCTCACCATAGGCATTTTAAAAGTGTAACATATATTACTTTTAATAGCCAGATGTATCACAATACTCCCTAACACCACAGTCTGAAAAGTAAGCATCAGTATAGGTACCACTAAAACCCAGGATGAACTCCTGTCTTGGTAGGAGTCAGTTGGGAGAATAGCCGTTCACTAGGACATGAATTTCAATAGAGAAACCTGGAATATAATACCATCTTTTTTCATTTTCTTACTTTCCTCTTCCTTGTATTACTAAAATAAGTTTAAAGAAGTGTTTATTTACTCTTCAGTTTCTCTGTGCACACAAGAGCACAGACTACATCAGACTATGATCTCCTACTCAACTGCACTTGGGCAAGTGAAATCAACCTCTGGAGAGCTCCGTTATCCCACCCTGCCCTCCTCTAAGTTGAATTTGCCAAGCTAATGTTCAAAAGGCATCTCAGCACAATCTTTATTCTTAGAGATCTAAGGAATGCTACAGTCTCATAAAATATTTCACAGTTTACAGCCACAATGCAGTAATGGGTAATACTCAGACACCCTGTTTGCAGGAGGATTACAGTTCCTATTTGCCTTACAAACCTTATCCTTTCTCTACCATACACCTGGAAAAGAAAACAGATGCCACACATATAGAATCAGTAAAGTAGAAATACACCCCAAAAAGTATGGGTGAGGAATATGCATCTGATACACTGAAAGATCTGATCCTACTTCGC